GTTGGGGGAGCAGCGTGTGCGGATCTTGGGAAAGGGAGGGGTGGGGAAGCTTGTAAACACCTCGATCGAGATTTTTATCTTCGGATGTTTCTTGCGTACGAACGATACTAGGTACTTGTTAAGAGGATCCGTCCTAATTTCTGTTCGAGGGGATTTCGGGAATTTTTCCCCTCCAATTCTCTTCAGTCAGTTTGATAATTTTAACGCACGAGAACCCTTTTCTCTCGCTTCCCTTCCTTGAACTTGAGACTTGAGAAACGACACCAGTTCGCTAATCAACCGCACGATCTCCAAATTCCTCGAATCCTACCAAACGGACCCGGAGTTTCGCCTCACCAAGCCCCTATAATTTCGACGACCAAGATCCGCTCGGCGCCCACATCGGACCTGATTAAACCCAGGAGAGCGGGGGGACGATGCGTAAATACGATGTTGGGGGAGGAGAGGGGAGCGAATTACCATCGTTATCAATCGAAGGAATTACGTTGAAACGATCATCGCGACACATGCCTCCATGTTCCTGGAAACGGCTGCTCTTCAAAGGGGCGAATCGATATTCAAACAATGTATACCAAAGTTGGAAGGAAGATGGTGGTAATTCGTAACGAAGATGACCGCTATAGATCACGAGAGGGTAGAGGGGGGCAAAGAGACGCCTGGCCGGCCACCTACTACCCCCTAGGGAGTCGCAACTCAACCCCTGAAAACGACTGTATTCAGATAATCCCACCTTTCCTCTTCTCTCCTCTTTTGGCCAGGACACACGCGACATTTCAATACCCAGATAACCCAGCGCAAATACGGTCGGATCTACGCGTCCCACGGCTTGGAAAATAACGATGACATATCGGGGGGATGCTGCACAGCTGATTTTTGTATTTTTCTTCTTCAGAGGAATTATTCCGTGAGAAATAATATTCTGTCGAGTAATCGAATAATGATAAACGATATTTTAATAGAGATGAATCAACGTCATCTTTTATATCATTTTTTAAATACATTGAAACATTTGAATAACACGAACGAGAGATTTGATTGGAGGAATAGATAAAACGAGATAAAAAATATTTTATATCTGCGATAATTATTTATATACGTTTCATATATCATTCCGTGAGAACGCTTGAACGGAGCATAAATCTTGCGCTTTGAGCTTCGTTTCAACAGAAATTCAATGGAATAATTAAATTTTCATTTCAAGTAAAACGTTTTAAATGATTAGATAGCGAGTCGCGAACCTGTGTTTTCAGTGTAATTGTTGGAATAAGTTGCGAAGATCTGACGGTATAATCGCGGATGAAAAAGGAAACGGGAATGCGACCGCCTCGGTCTAACGATCATCGACGCGCCTCTGAAAAACGAACAATGCGAGATCCTTGATGCGCTCGTTTTCATTATTAAACGAAGGACTCTGGATGGAAACTGGCACACGATTACATTAAATATGAATCGTGGCCTCGTTCGTTCCCGCGTCCATCGATTTTTTCTTTTTTTTTTCCAACGAGTTAGTCACAACGAGTGCGACGAATACCCTCGGGCAAGTGTCCCTTCAACGATTGCGAAAGAAAAATGGCCGAGTCGAGTCGATCTATTAAACATTAGATGTCGTCGAAATCGTAATTAAATCGATTCTTATCGTGTCTGAAACATGCAACGCCGTGAAACATTTAAAAGAGGAGGAAACGATAAACTCGAGTCATCCCTCCGCTCGTGGAAAGTCTCCAAGGGGTTGTAAAGCTGTTACCTTTGCACCTATACAGTATTCAAAGTTCGAATGGGCTCTAAACACGTCCATCCCCCTCCCCCATCCTTCTTCTGTTTAGAAAAAACGACTACGTATTAAAAAATAAATAATCAGACGTTACCTGTCCTACTTTCGAAAGGTTACAATGATTATCAAATCATAGGAAATAAAATGATGAATAAATCATATATAATGATTCAAATTTAAGAAGATAATTAATTCTTTTTTCTCGTTTTTTCTCTCGCTGAAAATCACAATCCTCTCGTCAATCATTCAAAGGAAAAATTCGTGCGTCTATCGTTTCGTCGAGAGATTTTCGTATTCACCACAGACGAGCGACGTCACTTATTAATTCGACGGGATCCCCTTTCTCTGACAGTCTGAAATCGCGTGTCCACGGACGCAACCCTTTCTCCCTTAGTATTCATAAAGGTCAGCCGGGTTCTCTCTCGCCTCTTGGGTGCCATTTCTCCGTGCACGTATTCCCATTCATCCGGGTTACGTGGACGAGACACCTGTACGTACGGGCAGCCGACAGTTAGCCGCGGACAGGTGAACTCCACCGGCTGTCGAAAAAACGATCGTGGGCAAAAGCTTGGGATATGTCCAAGTCAACGACCGCCTCGAAATAATGCAATGGATCGATCTTCGAATATGAGTGGAGTTGAACAGGATATCTCGTTCGACTAATCACTAATTTGTATATGTGCTTCCTTCCAATTTATTCATTAACTTTTTTTTATTGATTAATCATCAATAGATATGATATTGTCACAATTATTGTTTAATCGAATTGGATTTTGTAATTCTGATGAGTAGCATTACTTTAAGAATATTGATCTGGCAAGGGAGGAGGACAAATTGATATAATTCATGATATAATTTTAAGAAAATGAGGAAAAACGTTGAAAAGAAATATATAAATTTTTTAAATAATCATCATTTTTGCTCTGCCAATCAGAAATATCATTTTCCGTTCCTAAATATAAGAATCAAATCAAATTGTAGAAAACGATCCAAAATTTGTAATAAATCATTTTACACCATACGTATTGCGTTTCAATCTTTCCAAACGAACAAGAGAATCAAAAAGAAAGAAGAAAAGGCG